ATCTTGGGGTGGAGTCTTTTGGGTTTTCTATGTACAGTTTCATGTCATCTGCGAAGAAGGAGAGTTTGACTTCTTTGCCAATTTGATTGCATTTTATTTCTTTTTGTTGCCTGATTGCTGAGGCGAGGACTTCTAGTACTATGTTGAATAGCAGTAGTGAGAGTGGACATCCCTGTCGTGTTCCTGATCTTAGGGGAAAGGCTCCCAGTGTTTCCCCATTGAGAATGATATTCACTGTGGGCTTTTCGTAGATGGCTTCTAAGATGCTGAGGAATGTTCCTTCTATCCCTACACTCTGAAGAGTTTTGATCAGGAATATATGCTGTATTTTGTCAAATGCTTTCTCTGCATCTATTGAGAGGATCATATGGTTCTTGTTTTTTCTCTTGCTGATATGATCTATCACATTGATTGCTTTATGAGTGTTGAACCAGCCTGGGGATAATCCCACTTGTTCATAGTGAATAATCTTCTTAATGTACTGTTGGATCCTATTGGCTAGTATCTTGTTGAGAATTTTTGCATCTGTGTTCATCAGGGATATTGGTCTACAATTCTCCTTTTTGGTGGGGTCTTTGTCTAGTTTTGGAATTAAGGTGATGCTGGCCTCATAGAACGAGTTTGGAAGTATTCCATCTCTTTCTATCTTTCTGAACAGCTTTAGTAGAATAGGTATGGTTTTGTCTTTAAACATTTGATAGAATTCCCCTGGGAAGCCATCTGGCCCTGGACTTTTGTATCTTGGGAGATTTTTGATGACTGCTTCAATTTCCTCCCTGGTTATCAGCCTATTCAGGTTTTCTATTTCTTCCCGTTCCAGTTTTGGTAGTTGTGGTTTTCCAGAAATGCGTCCATTTCTTCTAGATTGCCTAATTTATTGGCGTATAGCTGCTCATAATAAGTTTTTTAAATCGTTTGTATTTCCTTGGTATTGGTGGTGATCTCTCCATTTTCATTCATGATTTTATTAATTTGGGTCTTTTCTCTCTTCTTTTTAATAAGACTGGCTAATGGTTTATCTATCTTATTAATTCTTTCAAAGAACCAACTCCTGGTTTTGTTGATCTGTTCCACAGTCCTTCTGGTCTCTATTTAATTGAATTCTGCTCGAATCTTTATTAATTCTCTTCTTCTGGGTGTAGGATCTATTTGCTGTTTTTTCTCTAGCTCCTTTAGGTGTAAGGTTAGCTTTTGTTTTTGAGTTCTTTCCAGTTTTTGGATGGATGCTTGTATTGCGATGTATTTCCCCCTCAGGACTGCTTTTGCTGTATCCCAAAGATTTTGAACAGTTGTATCTTCATTCTCATTAGTTTCCATGAATCTTTTTAATTCTTCTCTAATTTCCTGGTTGACCCTTTCATCTTTTAGCAGGATTGTCCTTAACCTCCACATGTTTGAAATCCTTCCAAACTTCTTGTGATTTCGTTCTAGTTTCAAAGCGTTATGGTCTGAAAATATGCAGGGTACGATCCCAATCTTTTGGTATCGGTTCAGACCTGATTTGTGACCCAGTATGTGGTCTATTCTGGAGAAAGTTCTGTGTGCACTTGAGAAGAATGTGTATTCAGTTGTGTTTGGATGTAAAGTTCTGTAAGTATTTGTGAAATCCATCTAGTCCAGTGTATCATTTAAAGCTCTTACTTCTTTGGAGATGTTGATTGTAGATTGTACAATCTAGATGTTGATCTGTTGATTGTAGAAAGCACTGTGTTCAAGTTATACTTCAAGTTCAAGTATAAGTGTATTATTATCTAAGTATATCTTTAAAAAAGTATGTCTTAACTTTGGTTATTAATTGATTGATATACTTGGCAGCTCCCACATTCGGGGCGTAAATATTCATGATTGTTAGGTCCTCTTGTTGGATAGATCCTTTAAGTATGATATAGTGTCCCTCTTCATCTCTTACTATAGTCTTTGGGATAAACTTTAATTTATCTGATATAAGGATGGCTACCCTTGCTTTCTTTTGAGGACCATTTGAATGGTAAATGGTTCTCCAACCTTTTATTTTCAGGCTGTAGGTGTCCTTATGTCTCAAATGAGTCTCTTGTAGACAGCAAATAGATGGGTCTTGCTTTTTTATCCAGTCTGAAACCCTGGGCCTTTTGATGGGGTCATTAAGCCCATTCACGTTCAGAGTTACTATTGAAAGATACGAATTTAGTGTCATCATAATACCTATTCAGTCCCTGTTTTTGTGGATTGTTTCCTTGAACTTCCTCTTTGTTTTACAGAGTTCTCCTTAATATTTCTTGCAAAGCTGGTTTGGTGATCACATATTCTTTCAGTTTCTGCCTATCTTGGAAGCTCTTTGTCTCTCCTATTTTGGAATGAGAGCCTTGCTGGATAAAGTATTCTTGGCTGCATGTTCTTCTCATTTAGGACCCTGAATATATTCTGCTAGCCCTTTCTGGCCTGCCACGTCTCTGTGGAGAGGTCTGCTATTAACCTAATACTTCTCCCCATGAAGGTTAGGGATCTCTGGTCTCTTGCTGCTTTAAGGATCTCTTTATCTTTGGAATTTGCAAGTTTCACTATTAAATGTCGAGGTGTTGAGTGGTTTTTATTGATTTTAGGAGGGGAGTCTCTCTATTTTCTGGATCTGAATGCCTGTTTCCCTTCCCAAGTTAGGGAAGTTCTCAGCTATGATTTGTTCAAATACACTTTCTGGTCCTCTGTCCCTTTTGGCGCCCTCTGGAACCCCAATTAAATGTAGATTTCTCCTTCTGAGGCTGTCATTTATTTCCCTTAACCTTTCCTCATGATCTTTTAATTGTTTTTCTCTTTTTTCCTCAGCTTCCCCTTGCCATCAACTTGTCTTCTATGTCACTCACTCGTTCTTCTACCTCATTAACCTTCGTCGTTAGGACCTCCAGTTTGGATTGCATCTCATTTAATTGATTTTTAATTTCGGCCTGATCTAAATTCTGCAGTCATGAAGTCTCTTGAATCCTTTATGCTTTTTTTCCCAGAGCCTCCAGTAGCTTTATAATTCTGCTTCTGAATTGGCTTTCTGACATTGAATTGTAATCCAAATTTTGTTACTCTGTGGGAGAGAGTACTGTTTCTGATTCTTTCTTTTGTGGTGAGTTCTTCCTTCTAGTCATTTTGCTCAGTGCAGAGTGGCCAAAAACAAGTTGTACTGGAAAAAGGAGAAAAAGAGAGAAAAAAAGGGGGTGGAGGAACATACAGAAAACAAAAAACAAGAGGAAATATCCTCTGATTCTATATACTGTAAATCCCTCAACTTCCCCTCGAAGTTTCCAGCGCTACTTGGTCAATAACTTGCTTTTCCCCTACCCTTCCAGCTGGTCTTCTGGGGGAGGGGCCTGCTATGCTGATTCTCAGGTGTGTGCACCTGGGGGAGCTGCGCAGCCCCCTGCCAGGCACACGACTCAGTGGGAATTGTTTATCCTGTGTGGCCCCTGTGCAGTACCAGGTACAAGGTGACATCAGGAGGAACAACAGTGGCGGTGGCCAGCTCTCCAGCTCTGGAGTCAGCTTCTGCAGTAACTCCCAGTCTGCAGGGGCCTGGATGCTCTGGGGGTGGGGGTGCCGATCTGCACAGCTCGGGGCTGCCCGGCGGCAGGAGTGTCCTTGCTGCCCTGTGTCCTCCCAGACTCCACCTCTCCTGGGGGAATGCAGGATCCTGGGCTGTGTCCCCAGACGGCCATGGCTCTGGGGCCTGCACCACTGGAATCGTGCTCCCGGAGCTGCGCAGCTGCCACCAGAGCCTCTGCCTGAGTTGCTCCTGGGACCCTGCCGGACGCGCTCCAGCCCTTTAGGGAGCTCTGCCTGTGGTGTGTGGCGCGCTCTCCCCTGGGTTGCAGTTCTTCTGTTAGTGCCCCTGGGAGCCTGAGGGCATCACTGCCCCTCCTGGGATCCTGCCCGAGCTCCCTGCGAGCGCCTTTCCCTCCGGGAAGATTGGTAAAGTTTCTGCTTCTCCGCAACTGGGCTTTCCTGGCTTTCCTGTCCTGGAGGCACTCCCCGCCAAGCCTTAGCCCGGTTCCTTGTGGTAGGGGCAGGGGAGGGGGGGCTCGGATGCTTTTTTATTTATTTTTTTCCATCTTCCTACTTTGATAGAAGTGCGAACTCTTCTCACTGTAGCATTCCAGCTGTTCTCTCTTTAAATCTCAGGCCAAATTCGTAGGTTTTCAAGGTGATTTGAAGGTTATCTAGGTAATTTGGTGGGGACAGGTGACTTGGGGAGCCTACTCTTCTGCCATCTTGCCCCCCTTCCTCTGTTCTGTATCTTAACCTGTATAGTAGTTATATAAGTGTATCAACTTCATAAAAATTCATTGAACTATACACTTACAGTTTTTGTTCTTTCCTGTGTGAATGTTATATTTGAATAAAAAAGTTTACTACCACAATATCTATGTATACATCAAACAAATTTGGTTTGACTTTACTTGCTCTACTTTTTAACTCCAGTATTATTTCTGCAGAAGTAAAAAATTACTCACTTTGTAATATTAAAAAGATGAAGATATGTGATCAGAGAACAAACACAGTTATTTTATAACCTTATTCTAATTTACTTGCTAGTTGGATATTAGCGAAAGAAATTGTAATGGTGGAATAATCTCATGGGACTAGATTTGGTATTCTTAAAGTACCTGGGGGCAGGTAGTGGTTTTATGTTTTTAGCTAAATTTTAGTGGAATTATTTTAGGATGAGATATTATTTTGAATTTTTGTGGAATATCAAAATAGTTTTGTTTGGCCCTGTTTGTAATTAAGTTTGTGTGTGTGTGCAAGTGAAACTTTCAGTTCTTTTTTGCCATTTTTTTTTCAGTAGTGCACACTATCTTTATATAAAGTATGTTTTGGAAACTTTTCATTATGATTATGGAATTAACTTCCTTTTTCTGTTTCATTTTAAAACTGAAGTTCAAAGATTTAGTTTCATTTTAGTGTCAAACAAGTAAAATGTTTTTATTAAATTGCTGTTATATTTTTAGTTGTGGTTTTAAAAATGAATGTATTTCTAGGGAGTGCCAGTGGAATTTTTGGTGTTAGATGATATTGATTCACTAATATCCCATGTGGAAAGTAATGTGGACATTGAAGAAATTCAAGAAGATGAAGATGAGGACACGAAAAGTCCAAATATGGGTAATACATTTTGCGATGCTCTTTCTCCCTCCAACCCTCATTCCTACTCGTCACCCGTAAGATCAGTGAAATTTAGATGAATTAACTTTCTCATAGAATGTTTTGACATTCAAGACTTCGGGTAACTTGGAGAAACCTATTTTGAATGACATTTTTGTCAAGTTGATTTGGTGGAAAAGGTAAGGATGCTGTTTTTTATTTAGTGTGATACCTTTCATTGTTACATGCTAGGCTTCCAGCTTTCCTCATCTGTGCCTTTATCTTCTGAATCCATTCTTTCATCCTTACTGGTCTACTCCATGTTTAAAAATGACCCAGGACCACAACATGGTATTTTATTTTTATTTTTTCCTATTAGGAAATGAAATTCTAATAAATGTTGTTGTATTTGTAGTTGTAAATAAGTCTAATTGTTGACAATTTGGGAGTAAATTTCAATAACATTTTAAAACCTCTTTTTTAATATGTTACATTTCTTTTTATTGTACTTATTCCTTATACTTTTGAAGTATTCTATGGTTTCAAGGCTATTTTCCTACACATTATTCACTTTGATTGTCATCCTCTAAGTTAGCTGATGTCACCTTCATTTTGTAGCGGAAGAATCTGTTTTAGTAGGGTTGAGTAACCTACCCAAGGTTGCACAAATGGCATGTGGTGGAGCCTGGACTAGAACTTAAGCGTTCGGACTTAAAATCTTATGTTTGATCTTTACTGTTACTGATACCTCTTTCGCAACATTAATCCTATTCTGTAATTGCTCACTTACTTTTTTCTCCACTAGTCTATAATATCTCTAAAGTAGGGATTATGTATTGTTCATTTTTCTATTGCATTTAGTATATACTTGAATGTTTTACAGAGTAAGCGCCAAGAAGGGAGTAATTTACATATTCTTTTTGTGAGATCCATTCATTATTTTGATCAGAATCTATATTATAAATTTAATGAGGGCTTTGAGCTTCAGTGGTTACCAGTGACCAGTTTCTTGGTTTGAGCTATGTTCTAATTCTTTTCTAATATGCAGAAGTTGGAACTGCTCATGTTTTAAGCCAGAGTTCTCCATAGTATTGTCATTACATAGACCTGTGTTTTGGTTTCTTTCTCCTAGCTCTGTTTCTATCATGCTTCATATGTTCTATCCTCCAGTCAAGGGAATTGTCCCTCTATCCACTTAATCAGGTCTTGCCCTTAGTGGGAGGTGCTTGTTTCAAGACTTCCTTATTGGCATATCCCCTTGGTTTGCCATGTGGTGTGACTTTCTCTTTCTTCTCTGCCTGCCTTCTCTCCCCAGCCTAGTTCTAGGGTTCCTTATACAGCTTTGCCTTTTGTTTCTTGTTTTGTTGTGGGGTTTTTTTTTTTTTTTGGTCTTACTTTTCTAGGTCTGTAATTCATATTGGCCCAAAATAGTGTATGTCCACATAATATCCCCTTGTTTTATTCCATTTGTATAGGAAAAATATATAGTATAGGAAAGAGTTTGTTACCATGTGAGAGGACAACACAAAGAAAAATGTCCTTCAAAGGAAATGGACACAGAATGAATCAGAATAAAGTGGACTGAATTCTACAAAAGGACAATATGGAAAAGATATTAAACTCACGTGTGTATATATTGATAAATAGGTGAAAGGTAGAACTAAAGAGTGGATCAATTTTAAAGTGACAGCTTATTGAGAGAATAGAAAGGAGAGAAAGGAAGTGTTGGAAGAAGTGAACAAGAATGGGTTAAGAAGTAAGAAAGGACTGGAAGGATAAGGAAAATATGTGAGGAAAATAGGCCTTTTTAAATTTTGGTATTGGAGTTTTAACTTGTTAGTGTCATGGAATGTGGTGTTTTTAAGTTCCTTTAAGTTAGTGTTGTACAACTCTTAATGTTTAAGATTTGAACACTGAGGCCCAGAGAATTATGTGACTGACTAGAGTCACACAGCAGAAACCTGTGGAGATATACTGTAATTCAGATCTAGTATTTTATTTTATAGTATTAAAAATCATATGAAATAATACTTTTTAAAAACTGTTTTCCTCCATTCTTCTTTCTTTCTGTGTTATTATAAGGAATTATGAACTTACCATAAAGTAGATGGGATAATAGAACAGATCTCCTGGTATCCATTACCTGGACCCACCCAACCACTATCAATCCATGGCTCTCTTATTCTAGTTACTGCCCACTCCTGATCATTTTGTTGCAAATCCCAAATACATAATTTTATCCAAAAAGATTTCCCTATGTATTTCAGAAATATAAGGATTCTCCTTTTAGGATGAACATAATGAGCACTGGGTGTTGTATGCAACTGATGAATCATTGAATTCTACCTCTGAAACTAATAATAGAATATATGTTAATTAAATTGAATTAAAAAAAAACCACAAAAATTAAAATGAACATAATTGGGGCACCTGGGTGGCTTAGTCCAATTGAGTATCCCAACTCTTAATTTCAGTTCAGGTCATGATCTCAGGGTCATGAGATCAAACCCTACGTTGGGCTCTGTGCTGAGCATGGAGCCTGCTTGAGATTCTCTCTTTGCGCCTCCCTCTTCCCCCCTCTCCACCTAGCTTGTACTCCCTTGCTTTCTCTCTTTCTCTCTCTCTCTCTCTCCCTGGAGAAAAAAAAAGAACATAATGCTATTATTACATCTAAAAACTAATAGTAATTTTGATATCACTAGATAGCCAATCAATGTTTGCATTTTCATTTGCATGCTCCTTCATGCCACTGTGCCTTTGCACATGCTGTTCCCTTTGCTCTGTATGCCTACACTGCCTTCCTTCACTGCCTACCTAAGTTTATTTTCTTTTAATATTCAGATAGCATCAACTCTTTTAGGAAACTTTGTCTTTCTAATCAAGTTAGTTAGATGTCCTTTCAGTTTTTCTATATAATCTGTACAAACCTCCAACAGAATATTTAAAAATGCAAAATGTGTTTTTTTACCCCAGACATGGGTGGATAGATGGATGGATGGGTGGATAAATGGATGGGTCTGCTGGTTTGTTGGTTGGTCTGAGTTAATGATAGGTTTTTATATATTCAGAATCCATATAACTTGATGTACTTAGAATATAATCTAAAATTCTTGGCTCGTATGGCTCCTTATAATCTAGCTACTGCCTAGTCTAGTGTTTTCTCATGCCATTTACTCCTTCGTCCTATCTTGTTTTAGTCAAATTTGTCTTCCCTCAGTATATGCTAAGCTATATGCTAAGCTCTTTTATGTTTTAGAGCCTTTGTATATGTTTTTCTTTTTGCCTAAGACATTTTTTTTTTTTTTGGATTCTCTAGCTGGAAGGTTTTGAATCTCCCAATCTAAATTTCCCTGTTACAATCTCTCAAGTATCATTTTCTTTCCTTAAACTGGCACAATTTGTAACTATGTGTTTATTCAGTGATCAGTTTATTGTCTCACTTTTCTGCAAATAGAAGCTCCATGTGGTCAGGGACTGTTTTGTTTACTATTTTCTGTTAATGTCTGTTTTGTTTACTATTTTCCCTAGTGTTGATCAGAGTGCTTGTCATCCAGTGGAATTTGTATTTATGTTAGTTTTGTATTTATATATACATTAATTTATTTTTGAACATTTTAGATGTTCAAGATGATGAAGTGGCAGAAACTGTTTACAGAGATAGGAAGAGACCCTTACCTTTGGAACTCACTGTGGAACTAACAGAAGAGACATTTAACACGACAGTAGTGGCTTCTGATAGCATAGTGCTTTTCTATGCTGGTTGTGAGTATGAGCCTTCAGAGGAGGCAGTATTACACATTAGAGCACTTAAAGTTGGCAGATTTTATTTTTGCATTCTGTATATTGCATGTTGTCAAATGACATAGTTTTCACATGTTCTATGTTCATGACTGCACATTTTGAAGGATTTACTAATTTAGAAAAATGTTTATGATTCAGGCTAATGATTTTTTTTTAAAGATTTTATTTATTTATTTGATAGCACAAGCAGGGGCAGAGGCAGACAGGAGAAGAGGGTAGGCTCCCCACTGAGCAAGGAGCCCAAAGTGGGGCTCTATCCCAGGTCCCTGGGATCATGACCCGAGTGGAAGGTAGATGCTCAACTGACTGAGCCAGCAGGCCCCCCCCGCCCCAGCTAATGATTTTAATATATTAACTGTTCTTATGGATCTATAGGACATATATTGCTTTTACCTTCAAATAATAGCCCTTCAACTATATTCTTTGCAATATGAGTATAGACAATTAGTTGCCTTTGGAATCCTCTTGAATGTGTCTACAATATTCAGTACTGTATATTAGAATATTTCTTAAGAAGTAACAATTTTGGGAAGCCCTATAAATCTGTGTTTGTTAATGTATATGTATGGATGCTTTGGAGAGATATGCGTGTTGCAATATTTGTTGAATTTTTATTTTAATGTAGGGCAAGCGGTATCCATGGCATTTCTGCAATCCTATATCGATTTGGCAATTAAATTGAAAGGTATGTAATGTGATATGCATGTTTACTTTCTTGATTCTCATCTGTAGCTATTTGTAAAACCATATCATGCTAAAGATGAAGAAAACCACTTAAAATTTCACGTTATTATATTTGTGTCTCCAGTGTTATGTTAATGAACCATGAGTTTCAGAAGCATTCATTTTGGCTCTCTTCATGGAACTGTGTTTAGTATATAGTAGAGAGCCTATGTATTAAGTACTTGTGGCCACAGTTAATCTAGTAATCCTTTTGGCTGAATTCATTCAGTAAATATTTATTGAGAGCCTACTCTGAGCCAGTAACTATTAAATATTATTAAATAAATATTAAATATACTTAAACAAAAATGTGACAAATAAGACTCAGTCTCACAGTCTAACCAAACATGTAAGATCTCTGTTCTTGAAGCTATTCATTTAGCTCCTTGTGGACTGGATAGCCAGTGGATCTTAATAGCCAACATCTTTTAACTGTTCTATGAAAATATGCTCCAGTGGTAGGCAAATAAGAATTCAAAGAATGGACTTGAACTCAGAATATCTATCCTGTCATCCCAGCAAAGACGTAGGGAGAGGTAAGGAGAAATAATGTTGGATTAGGATAATGTTTTATAAACATTTGAATAAGACAGAATGTATCATGCTTCATATCTGTAATACGATTTTTTCCTACTGTTTTTTTCCTTAGAGATTCTAGTTAAATAGGCTTATTCTTTTGGCTATTTTGCGAATGTATCCACCATTTAGTTTTTTGGGGGCACTAGCTTAAGCTCTTTCAATTTTTAGTAAGTTCTTTTCAGTAGGTAGCATACCTTATACATAGCTCACTGGATTTGGCATATTGCCTTAAATTGTAGAATACTTGATGTTTAATAATTGTTGAATAAATGAATAAGTTAATACTGTAGAATTTAGTGGAAAATGTCTACTAGTATACAACTTATATACTGGGAACTTTTGTGAACTCAAGAAATTAATTCCAGAAAGTCAATCCTAAATATAACATGTTCTATGGTAATAAAAACACCAGAGATTTAAAAAATCACTTTGAACCATTTTTCCTCAGTTCAATTCTCAACAATGTTTGATCCAACTTCTGATTATTTCATTACCCAAGTGAAGATGTGATGAAGTCTACAGATAATGTGATTCCTAATCTTTTTTTTTTTTTAAAGCAAATCCTATTACTCTCTTTCAGATTCTCTTTGAATTCTTATTTGCCTACCACTGGATTTCAGATTCTGTAGTTGCAATCTATATAAAGATCTAAATTTCTTCTTTTTGGTTCTCCAGCCACACTGCCAAAAAATTAGAAGAAAGAAAAAGGGGTGGTAAATATAAACCATAAATGAAAGAATAACCAGATAATGCTGTGAATAATAGAATTAACCCCCCACCTAGCCCATTTGTCAATACCAAATGAAAATGGGAACAGAGTCCCTTACTTTCTTCTCTATTGATGATCAAATAAAGAGTCTCCCGGGCCCCTAGAGACACATAGTATAGGTAATTGTTTTGCGTCTACATTGAAGCCCATACTACAACTTTGTAAATTAGGAGAATATTGTAATACTTTGGGTGTTCAGTCGTGTAACCTTGCACATTGGCTACATGGGAAAAAGCCACTTTTCGTCTAAGACGGTGAAGAATATTTCAGTCACAAGGTGGCAGCAAATGTCAAGTTTTTATATACGTACCTACTATCTGTAGCTAAGAGAATCTGTTTATTTTTCCTTTAAATTAGGAACACTGTTTGAAATTCCTGCATTGATAAAGTATAGGGGGCTGTAATACTGCAGGCATCTTAGACTCTACTAGCAGATGAACATGCAAAAGGGACTCAAAAAAGCAGCAAAGGAGGTGGGGAAATAAGCCAAATAGGGGAAGGGGTTGCAAAAATCAAGGGAAGAGAGTTTCCAGTGGAAGTAGTTCATGCTGATGAGAGGTTAAAATAAGAATGGGCTAAAAAATGTTGTCAAGTCTACACAACTGAGTTTCCTACATTAATATTTATAAAATGTGCATTTCCTTTTGTTTAGGCACATCCACTATGCTACTCACTAGAGTGAACTGTGCAGATTGGTCTGATTTATGTACCAAGCAAAATGTTACTGAATTTCCTGTTGTAAAGATGTACAAGGAAGGCAAGAATCCGGTGTCTTACGCTGGTATGCTAGGAACTGAAGATCTCCTAAAATTTATCCAGCTGTAAGTATTCAGCTTCTCCCTAAGACTTTTAAATTTTGAGGTCTGTAAACCTTCTAATTGCCATACTTTGTTGACACACATTGAATAGATAAGGAGTAGTGAATTGAGATCATAAGATAAACTGGTGGGGAGAGCTTATCCACATTTCTTCACTTTTAGGGAGATAGAGATTTTGTTTAATGAGGGTGATTTTTTATTATTATTATTAGAATAGTATTTAGTTGTCTTTATTTTGTCAGATATTTATCCTGTGGAATATAGTGTTTGTTAACATCAATATATTTTATTCTTTTGTAAGCTGAAAACTATCTTTAAAAATTACTTTTGAATATACTTACATATTCACCCAGCAGCAGGATTTCATGCCCAGTGAACATAACATCTGTACAAGAAGCAGAAGAATATTTAAGTGGGGAATTATATAAAGACCTGATCTCCTACTCTAGTGTGTCAGTGCTGGGACTATTTAGCCCAAACATGACAACAGGTAAGTAGTTATGTAAGTTAAAAACTTGATTGCTAGTTTTTTAAAAAAGTAAATTAATATCTTTTTAAATTATTGAGAACTCAAATGATAGAATTTTGAAAATTAAAAAATTAGAAGAAAAAATCTAAAATTATTTAGAGTTAAATTTTGATATAATTCCTTCCCTCTTTTTTCTGTGTATTGCATATTTATATATATTTTATTGTAATCGGGCTAATATTGTGTATCTAGGTTAGTATCTTGCTGTTTCTATTTAATAGTACATGGGTGCATTTTTTTTCCATTACATGGGTGATTTAATATATTTCAAAAGCATCATGACTGTATTTTTGGATGCATATACCATAATTTTACTTAACTGTTTCCAACAAATAACATCTGTTGTTTACCTTTTTTCTTTTTGCCATAAAGAATATTTTTATTTATGCATCTGTGTGAATTTAGACTGTTTAATGGGTATAGAATCCCAATGGAGGATAACTTTATGTTTTCTGTAAACTATGTGTTACATGTTATTCATTTTTAAAAGTGGGATTTTAGTGCTTGTCTAATGAATTACTATGAAATTTTTATGTATTAAGGATATTAAGTTCTTGTTATTTTGTTTCAATTATTTTCCCCTAGTTTGGTTTTTAGCTTTAATAATTTTATGTTTAGGGATCCCTGGGTGGCACAGCGGTTTGGCGCCTGCCTTTGGCCCAGGGCGCGATCCTGGAGTCCCAGGGTCGAATCCCACATCGGGCTCCCGGTGCATGGAGCCTGCTTCTCCCTCTGCCTGTGTCTCTGCCTCTCTCTCTCTCTCTCTCTCTCTCTCTGTGACTATCATAAATAAATAAAAATTAAAAAAAATAATTTTATGTTTAGTGGCTTAAATTTTGTTTTCAAATTTATTAATTTTGAGATTTCTTCAGTGGATTTCAGTTGGAGAAAATCTCTGTCATCCTTCTTAATTAATATTCACCTGAATTTTCTTCTTGCTTTAATTTATAGTATTTTCTTACTCTAATTTATAGTGTCTCCTTCTTTAAATATTTTTTCTTTTTTTAAAATTGTGATAAAATACATGTAACAAATTTACCATTTTAACCCGTTTCTGCATATAGTTAGCTAGTGTCAAGTATTTTTACATTGTTGTGCAGCTAATCTCTAGAACTTTTTCATTTTGCAAAACTGAACCTCTGTACCTGTGAAACAATTCTCTGTGTCCCTGTTTCCCTAGCCCCTGGCAACCTCAATTCTACTTTGTAACTCTGTGAGTTTGACTACCCTGGATACCTCCTATAAGTGGCATCATACAGTATTTGTCTTTTATTGGCTGGCTTATTTCACTTACCACGATGTCCTCAAGATTTATTCCTGTTGTGTCCTGGGTCAGAATTTTACTTTTAGGGGCCCCTGGGTGGCGCAGTTGGTTAAGCACCCGACTCATGATTTTGGCTCCGGTCTTGAGCTCACAGTCTTGAGATGCAGCCCTGTGTGGGGCTCTGAGCCCAGAGAGGAGTCTCCTAAAGTCTGCTGTCTCTAAAATAAATCTAAAAAAAAGAATTTCCCATGTGATGTGGTGAGCACTAGGTGTTATACTATGTTGGCAAATTGAATTTAAAATAAAAAATAGAATAAAAAGAATTTCATTCCTTTTAAAGGCTGAATAATATTACATTGCATGTAACACATTTTATTTATCCATTCATTTGTTGATGGACACTTGAGCTGTTTTCACCACCTCTTGGCTATTGTGCATAATGCTTCTGTGAACATGAGTGTGCAGATATCTCTTCAGGACCCTGCTTTCAGTTTTTTTGGATATATATCCAGAAGTGGAATTGCTGGGTCATATGATAGTCCTGTTTTTAATTCTTTGAGTAGTTACCATACTGTTCTCCATAGTGGCTGTACCATTTTATATTCCCACCAATAGTATACAAGGGATCTGATTTTTCTAGGTCCTCACCAACACTTGTTATTTTCTGTTTTTTTGATAGTAGCCATTTGTAATGGGTGTGAGGTTTTGATTTGATCATGGGTTTGATTTTCACTTTCTTAATAAGTAGTGATATGGAGCATCTTTTTATGCCCTTGTTGGCCATTTGTATATCTTCTTTGAAGAAATGTCTATTCAAGTCCTATGCCCATTTTTAAATCAGGTTGCTGTTGAGTTGCAGGAATTCTTTATTTATTCTGGAAATTAACCTCTTATCATATATATGAATTGCATATATTTTCTTCTGTCCCATAGGATGCTTTTCTACTCTGTTGATTGTGTTCTTTGATTTTTTATATAAGTTTTTAAGTATTTAGAATTTTTGTGCATGGTATGAGTTTAGGGGCCAACTTTATTTTTGTCTGAATAGTTCATTCTATCATCACCATATTAAATCCATGTCTGTCTGTATGTGTGTATATAATCTGTTTAAATGTTTTTTTTAAAGATTTTATTTATTTATTCATGAGAGAAACAAAGAGGGAGAGAGAAAGAGAGAGAGAGAGAGAGAGGAGAGAGAGAGTCCCAGGCAGAGGAAGAAGCAGGCTCCATGCAGGAAGCCTGATGTGGGACTCAATCCCGGGTTTCCAGGGTCACGCCCTGGGCTGAAGGTGGCACTAAACCGCTGAGCCACCAGGGCTATCCAGATGTTTTCTATTTTATTCACTTTTATCTCCCTGTTGATGCCTAATCTGTTAGTTTTTATTTTAAAGATTTATATATTTATTTTAGAGAGTGAGACTGAGCAGGGGGAGGGGCAGAGGGAGGAAGAGAGACAAGCAGACTCTGCACTGAGTGCAGACTCTGACAATGGGCTTGATCCCAGGACTCTGAGATCATGACCTGAGGTGAAATCAAGAGTTAGACACTTACTGAGGCACCCAGGCACCCCTCTAATCTATTAGGTTTATAATACATGTTGAATATGTAATTGAGTCAACTCTCTTGATTGTATTTTATACATTTTCTTATCTTTTTTTTTTTTTTTTTTGCCTGTTGGCTCTTCCAGCTAAACTTTAATCATTTATACATACATATTGTCTAAACTTATTTGTGTTTTTGTTGCTTGTTTTATGCTTCACTAGTATTTCTTTAGTTATTTTGGTCTACATGGAGTATGCTTCTTTTGGTTTTATTTTCCCCAGAGCTAGAGAAGATGTTCTTTAAAAAAAAAAAAATAATATATATATATATATATATGAATCTATAAGATTATATATATATATAATATAAATAATATAATATATAATATATATATTAGAATCTATAAGATTAAAGACCTCTTCAATGATTTTGACTCCTTATGACTGCTTTTAATTTCTTCTGTTACCTTTTTTTCTATATGAGCCTCTATAGTCTCATATTACAGACTCATTATCATTATTGCTGACCTTTAATTTTTTTGCATTATGTATTTCTCTTTCAAATATTTTTTACATTTTTCTATTTTTTTTGTATTTTTTTATTGAAGTTTGATATGCCAACATATAGTATAACACCCAGTGCTTGATCATAAAACTTAACCCTAAGCAATCTGGCAGCAGTCGGAAACAGGAAGATGAAATTTTTGCTGTCTTGTCATCATCATATAATAAATGGGAACATAAAAGTTAGGATGCTGACTCACCCACAGAGAAAACTTTTCCCTGATTGTAAATGCAGAGAGGGATTTTTCTTTATATATATATATATATATATATATATATATATATATATATATATATATATATGAGATCACCATAGGGAACAGTATACTTTATGATAGTTCTATACAAATGATAAGATTTACACATAATTATCTCTCAACAAAGGTCAAAAGTATAAGGCACCTGGGTGGCTCAGTTGGTTTTAAGCACCTGACTCTTGGTTTTGGCTCAGGTTATGATCTCAGGGTCATGAGATGGAGCCCTCCATCAGGCTCTGTGCACAGCTTGGAGTCTCTCTCACCCACCTCTTCCCCTTCTGCCTCCCTCTACTCACATGTGTGCATGCATGAGTGCTCTCTCTCTCTCAAATGAATAGTTTTTTAAAAAAGGATAATATCAAACAACATAGAGATTTTTCTGGTGTGCCAGAATGATGTAATCTGGATAGGATGCTTTTTTTTTTTTTTTTTTTTTTTTTTTTACTAAATTGATTGTTCCCAGACTTTTCAGTCAGGTATTAGAACCTCCTCTTTTTTGTTTTTGTTTTTGGCAGATGTTCATGTGGTATTTACTCTACTTTCAACATCTATTGAATGATAAAATGTTTAACAATAAAAGGCTATTATTATGAATTCATTAACATTTTTACGTATGTGTGTTTTATTTATAAGAGCTAACCAGTAACATATACTGAGCAATTATTTTGTATCAGATATTGATTTATTGTTCATGTAGATTCTAATGACTTAAAGATTAATATAATGTGGATTCCAGGAGGGCTAAAATGTCTTTGTACAATGTTGTATCTTACTTGAAAGATACTTTTTTTTCCTTTGTAATTAATAAATATCTTGTGGGGATAGAATTTAAAACTCTGAAAATGTCCTGTTTCTCATTATGCTTTCTTTTGCACTCCAGTTTTAGAGTCCATTACTTGAAAGAGCTATAATGGTTGCCAAATCGAAAATTTCTAACTACTTATTCCTTCTATATACATACTAATATAGTTCACATACTACTGTAACTTTTCCTTCTCGTTTGTTTTTCAGTATGGACACCTGAGTCCTTATTTTATTCAGTGGGTCATAATTAGTTACTATCATTCATTTACTAAAGTCCCAGATTTGGTCAGTGGGAGCCCCTTCAGTATGATTCCCGTGTCCTTTTGACATGTCTCCATCATTCTCTGACTTTGTCCTTTTGGCACAAAATGTTCCCAGTCTCATTCTTGGAATCAGTTCTCAAACAAGAGTCTATGTTCCTTTTAGTGGGACACTGAATTTAGAAACCAAGATCTAGGAGTTTGCTTTTAATTACTGGAGCATTCTTGCTTCTTAACTCCTTTGTTGGTAGAACTAAAAAATAGATGTATGTATAGTATGTGTAAATATGTGTGTGTATAAATGTAAGGATTCAGTAACATGATAGCGGGGGGGGGAAGTAGTATTGTTAAATTAATGTATTTATTTTATGCAGTTAAAACATGTTGATAGTTACACAACTAAGTCTTGTAGGTCACCATTAGTATTATGTCCCAAATATATTTGTTGTGATTTAAAAACCTTTTTATTTAGATTAACTGATTATTTTCTTATACTTGGGGTTGCAGTGTATTATGACATATATGTAGTTTTCACCAAGGAGGAAATGTTCAGAGGAAAATTGACAGTCTGATTTAGTGGAAATGGGTATGTATCTGAGGTCTACAGTTTAAATGCTTCCATTGTACAAGTAATAAGATTTATGAACAAGTGGATTTATGAACAAGTGGATTTATGAAGACCTTTTTAACAAACATATTCATGAATAGAGAGGCTTCTGTATAATGAAATTATATGGAAATAGTGTAATTTTTTCACTGTTATTTATCAAAAAAGAAAAGAACCTGAAACAGAATCCATTATGTCATTGCTTTAGGTAATGATCATCTATTATTGACCAGATTTAGTACTATTTTCTCTTAGAAATGAAAGTATAGGACACAGTGCTTTCTAATTGTTTATTTTCTTCTCTTCTTTCTCTCTCTCTCTCTCTCTCTCTCTCTCTCTCTCTCTCTCTCTCTTTTGAGGGGACAGGCAGAGGGAGAGGGAGAATCCTAAGCAGACTCCATGTCCAGCACTGAGCACAACATGGGGCTTGATCTCACAACCCTGAGATCATAACCTGAGCCGAAATCAAGAGTCAGATGGCTTAGCCAACTGAAACACCCAGGCATCCCTTTAGTTGTTTACTTTTCTTATGAATCTTTTCTGCTTTGGGTAACACAGGCTAAGGAAAATATTTTCATGGGGTAATAGTTTCACGTTAAATTCATGATTATAAATGAGGTCTCAGTGCTGCCTACTTACTGACTGTGCCACTTAGTAGATTGGCTTTCCTGCAGTGTTTCTTAATCTTGTGAAAAATATGCATCCTTTTTAAGGAATATAACCTTGTGGTTACTGAATGGTAACAGTGCTGATGCTCACCCATGAATATAGTACTGACTACTTAGGTACAGATCTTTTGGGTTCAGCATGTCTAGAGTACTAGGTGCTGTATGATTCAATTCTTCCATCATTAGTTTTCTGTTTGAACTGCCACGAATCTTCCATGCCGTGAACTGAGTTATCATTTGCCTTCACTTGACAAGAATATACCATTTATATAGGTTTACATCGGTTCTTGTCTCATTAATCTATGACTATTTAATTCAGACTTGCTTCTTGGTTATAAAATAGTCATTAACATGATCCAGGATATACTATTACTTATGAAAATGTATTCAGAAAACTACAGAAGTAATATTTTAATATCCATAACCTAACAAATGAGAAAAGACTGATACACAAATTAATCAAAGTTCAAAGGTAACAAAAACACATTACAGAAAATACAGGAAATATAAAAAGACACAAATCCCTAATTGCAGGATCCTGCAGAGATACTGTTAAAGGACTAGAATTTCTAGTCTTCTATTTTTTCTGTGTATGTAGGCACTTTTAGATTTTGTGATGATAACGTGTGCATCGTTTCATATACCTGATTCTCTTTCCAGGCTGTGTATAGGATAGCTATCTCCACTTATCTTACCTTAGGAGTATATTAAAAAGCAGTAAGTCTTTATTAGTAACTCTGTATGATTAGAATGCTATAAATCTGATAAATCATATTTAGAGTATATTTGTTTAGGGAATCATAATTGCATTGTATCAATTTACATTTCTGCAGTAATCAAATGTCATAAAGAGCACAGCTTTATTTTAGAACCACTAAGTTCTATAAGATCTACCAGTAAATATTTATCTTTATAATTAATAATAAATCACAACCATTTATAAATCTGTTCATCAGTTGAATAGCACACATAACTTTAAAGATTTCAAATGTTTGTCTTGTCTATGTATTTGTAGCAAAAGAAGATTTCACTGAAGCAGGAAACTACCTACAAGGATATGTTATCACTGGGATTTATTCTGAAGAAGATGTTTTGATACTGTAAGTTAATTGGTCTAATTTTAGAAAGGAAGAAGTTTGCAAAGTAATATATTGCTTGTCTTTACACAGTCGATGAAAGAAAATAGGTCAGCATTATAACTTTGGGAAGTACCACCTGGCTATTTAGAATTTTTAGATATTCTTTTGCTTTAGGCTAGAGTCCCTAGAGGGGCAACCTTGGATTCATATTATTTCATCTTCCTATAAAAAATTTTCTCTTTGGGTTCTATTATCTGCTGTTTTGGTTCTTTGGAATTAATCATAGTTTGGGGAATGTTACTTCTTGAGTGTCTGGGTTTTGATTTGCCACCAAGGTATGTATAAAAATCAGCATTTTCTCATATTCCTACCAGAGTTTTAGGTGATATAACTATACCTGGGAGTTCTACCCAATTTTAAGTTATTGCAAGCAAACATACAACTTAATCAGTGCTTTTTTTTTTTTTTTTTTGCCATTTAAGTTGCTTTACTATAGAATGTGGGACTCTTGTGAACTACCAAATATTGCAGTTGCTTCAGAATGAAGTACTGAACTGAAAATTTGGAGATTATTAATACATACTAATATATGTAAATATATGTAAATATATAACATGCATATATGTAATATATATGTAAATATGTAAATCACATTCTGCATTAATGACTTATTTTCAGTGCAAGTGGAGTTGGTGCACCCCAATAATTTGTCTTGCTTACCTTCTGACTATAATATTCCTAATTGTGATTTCTGAGCTTAAATCTTTCGTCCTGAACACTGGTGACATATGCACTTGATGACTAAGCTCCATTTCTATCCATGAAATCTGGGACTTTTGAAAATAGTGATCTAGATCTTTAGAAAATATGAGACCTATTCACCTGACACATGGACAGTTGCCCACTATCTTCTACTCTGCTGTCATTGTGCGTTTAGCTCTGATCCAAAGAGCTAGACCAGTAATTTTCAGAGTATATTTTATATATAAAGAACTGATACCTAAGAGTCTGCCAGGTAATTTGAAGATTAGACTACTAATGCTTCATAGTATTATAATGTCTGTACTTTGTTGTAGCATCAGTTGAGATTTTTCGTGATATTAATGTGACTACCTCACTGGTCATTTGACACGAAGCATTTTTTTCTATTTAATTTCATGATTTCTGTTTTTCATTAGCAAAAGTAAGAAGGAGGAGATTTGGGCTTGGTTACAGCAGAAAGACATAGACTTTGTATCTGGGGCACCTCAGTTTGAATCCTATCTCTGCCATCTATCACTCTATGAGTTTTGGTTTCCTCATCTATAAAATGCAGGTGATAGTGGCCTCATTATAGGGCTGGTCTGATGATTAAATGAATAATAATGGCACCTGAAAGAGTTCCTGGAAAATAATAGGTTTCTAGTGAATGCTTGTCTCCTTGCTCAGCACTATAATGAGCAGTCCAAAAAGGTTGAGAATCATGCACTATGTTCTAATCCTATCTAGAAATTTTCTTGATGGCTAAATTGGAGGAAAAAAAATTTAGCTAGATTATTATCTGTTGCTTTCTTTTAATCTAGGTTGTCAAGGCTCCTGAACTTCTCAGATAGCCTCACAGAGAAGATAAGTTTGCCTGGAAATTGAGTTCCTTTCTTTAGCATTAGGTCTTCCCCATTTGCTGCTTCCCACTCTGACCTCTTGGCCTAATTGTTTATGTTTTTGATGACCTGCTATATTTTATTGGAAATCTTAATACCACATTTCTCCATAGGTCAGATAAGTATGCTGCAACCCTTCCAGCCCTGCTGCTGTCCAGACACAAAGAAGGCAAAATAGAGAGCATTCCATTAGCTAACTCCCATGCACAAGACATAATTCAAATAACAACAAATGCATTACTGGAAACATTTGTGAGTATATTTTATAATTAGGATGTTATTTGAAATAAAATCTAGACCAGTTAAAAATAGTCTTTTAATATACCATTTTCCAGCTTTTGTCAGCACAGACCATGATGTTTTGTGAGCTGAAGATTCATTGGGTTGCCCTGTTTTATTGTTCACTCATTGTGCATACAGCTTTTCTAGTCCACTGCCAAAAGTTTACATGTCTTTGGATTATTTTTACTGCTGAGACTAGTGTAATTGATGGCCAGTTGAAGTACTTAATGTAGGCTGAAACTTGGTATATATAAAGCAAACGGACTCTGGAAAGTCAGACTACTCAGCTTCAGATCCTCGCCTGATTGCTTACTGGCTCTTTGTTAATGTCTCTGTGCCTTACTTTCGGTATGAGTAAGATGCAGGGCACCTGCTGCAGAGACTTAATTGTGAAGACTAAGAGAGATGTGTATGGTGTTCTTTGTCATGTTTGGTCCCTGGTGAGCGTTCAACAAATGTGAGTGTGTATTCTTACTTATACAGTTCTAGAACAAAATGGTGTGTTATAAAAAACCTTTTCCATTGCTTCTTTTGAAAATAGTGAATTCAAGGGTATAACAACTGTAACTTGTATTTCTCAATTTCATTTGTTTTTGCATTTATATTAAACATAGCTAGCATTTATAAATGTATGCTTTTCTGTTTTTCTAAAGTGACATAAGAATCATTATTATCAACTATAAATACTGAATGAACATCCTCCTGTTGTTATGTTTCTTGCCATGATGATCAAAATAACATTACATTTTAGGCTCAAATTAATGGCTGTAGTCTTTATTAAATCTTTTTATGACTTTGGTTCTGTTCCCTCCCTTCTTCCCATTAAAGTTACAGGTTATGATTAATCAAATCATTAATATTTTCAGGATGTAGTTTTCCAAATTATTAAGGTAACGTTTTTATATTTAATGACATGTTATTCAATTAGTATTTCCTTAGCCACAGACATAGTTTAATATTTTTAAAATTATTATAAGCCTTTTACCTTTCTTTTCCCATATAATACAAAGAACCAAAAGAGAAGAAAATTGGAATCAACTGTAACCTCTTTGACCAAATTTAAATTGGGGGAAATAGTTTCCCAAACTTAAAAAAAAAATCCATGTGTATATATGTGATTGTCTTTTTTATATTAAGGGATATTTCCATCATGAAATGAAGATACACATATTAGTTTTTTAATATCCACATAATATTTTGTTGCACTAAAACCCCTCACAATTCATTTAATCTCCTGTTGATGAATATTTAAGTTGTATTTAGTTTTACTCAGGGACCAACCTTGTGTATAATCTTTGGGTGTTTCCATGATTACATACTCATGGTAAATTCACAGAATTTGAATTGCTAGTCCAAAGGGCAAACACACATTTAAGGCTGCTACCTGGTCCTGTTTTGTATGAGAAGAGATTGGAACATTTTACTCTGTTTATAGTTAAGCTTTGTGGCAGTGTTTTCAGTTTATAGTGTTTTGGTTTGCAGCGTTCAACTAAAAACCAAACAGCTATAATAAAAATTGTTTTGCTTTTAGTTTATGACCTTTTCATAAATTCTAAAACCCTGAAGTGGTTATTAAATTTCTTAAAGCTGTCTGTTGGAGATTTAAGCCTAGAGTTTGTAGCAGCCAGCCAGCTGCAACTTCATCTGGCCTGCACTAAGTAAGGTCCTAGAAAGACTTTGGTTTTTCATCTGGATAGGAAGGAGAAATGGGTGACCAGATAGTAAACATTTTTTACGTGGCATCTAATTTTTATTTTAATTAATGTGATGATAAATCTTAAATACATAATAATTAACTACATAAGCAATGATCTATCCAAGGCTGTCACATGTAAACATACTTCCTAACAAAGAGTTCTAGCACTTTTCTCAGATATATTAAGTTCCTTTGTTTATGCTTTTATTATGGATAACTTACAGCCTTTTGTATACTCAAGTAGCCAAAGGACACCTTCAATTATCATGTTTGATGACCTTTTCTGTAAGTAGCAACCAAAACTATAGGCAATGCTTTTTCTTCTCAAAATTCTCTGTTCCTCTGGCTTTTGCAATTCAGTCCTCTCCAGATACCTCTGTCAACCCTCTGGACACTCTAGAATTCCATCTTCAGCCTTCAATCTTTTTCTTCATTTGCTGTCCTTTCTTTGGGAAATTTTATCCAATTTAACCATAATTTCTACCATCAATATACCAACTGATAATTCCTAAATCTGAATTTCTGATCTTTCCTCCTCAACTCACAGAACTCTTGGTCTTTCTTCCTTGAAATGCTTGTCACTGGTCTGTTCTTTCACAGGTTCATACTCTAGTTAGTCATCTTTCTAAAACAGGCATAACCGTGCCACTCATTTGATACCAGATCTTCTCAGTAGTCCTGGGAGCTAGAAGACCTATCAAGGCATTTTTCCCATCTGGAGTTACAGCCACATTTGCCTCTTGCATGCCTAAGTCTGGCATACTTCACTCCCACTGTTCCCAGATGGCATGTATGCCTTCACAGTTCTCTGCCTGTCCCCACGACGCTCCCTATATATCTAGAATCCTGGCTCTAGCACTTACTTTCTTCTGTCAAGATCGTATTTCTTGCCCAAGGCCAGATCAAATATCATCATCCATGAGCTCCCCTACTTTGTTTTTTTTTTAGCTTAATTTTATTGTCAAACATTAAATTTTCTTGGATCACAGCAGTTTATATACCTATCTCCTCTTTTGAATATGAGCTCTTTGAGGGCAGGGAAAATATCTTACTTCTTTTTGATTCAAAACCCAGTATAACGTTTTGAACTTTGTAGTGGTGGCTCCATTTTCCCTAATGTTTCCGATCTGCTCAGAGTGAGGAGATCAGCTGGCCTGATGAGATCTGTCAATTTTATTTTTTTTTCTTAAGATTTTATTTATTTATTCATGATAGACATAGAGAAAGAGAGAGACAGAGAGAAAGAGAGGCGCAGACACACACATACGGGGGGGGGGGCGCAGCAGAGACACAGGGAGAAGCAGGCTCCATGCCGGGAGCCTGACGCAAGACTTGATCCCGGGACTCCAGGATCATGCCTTGGACCAAAGGCAGGTGCTAAACCGCTGAGCCACCCAGGGAACCCAAATCTGTCAGTTTTAGAAAGGAGACGTAACTCATGTAGAAGATTAAAGATAACAATATAAGAAGACAGTATAGGGAAATTTGGAGAAGAGGGGATCTAAGATTTAAGTCCTGAAAGAGGAAGGTGTGAGAGGAGGATTTTGAGTGTGAAAGAGAAAGAATTAGAAGAAAAATGAAAACTGGCAGAGGAAAGTGACTTTGAGGACTAAATAAGGAAAAGTACATGCCAGAGTTTGGTATTTTAGCTTAAACTGAAAAGAAGTGGACTGATATTTTTGTTAAAACATGTTTTTGATTATATTAGTTAAGCTAAAATCCATAACATTGAAACAAAGTAAGATTTTTATTTTAAGTAATCATAGATATTGAAAGATTATATCTTTGAAGCTCAGCATTTTTTTTTCCAAAAATTTTATGTTAGATACAATAAGAGTTTTGTTTGTCATATATATGTTGGCTAATCTGGTCCAGATTTTAGCATAAGAAATTATTAGAAGCATTACATCCTTGTAAAACAGGGAACTCGTTTATTTTCAAATTAACTTTATTTTGGAAATAACTCATTAAGATAAAGTAAGCCTAAAAAGCTCTTGAAATTCATAGTTATTAGCTAAATCTCCACTTAAGATATGTTTGAATTATACTTTACAACTAAAATTGCATGAGTGATTTGAACATTTTCTATTTTATGCATCATCATTCAGCATGTTGATTTTTTTTTTTTTAACAGCCAGAAATCGCTGTGGAAAATCTTCCCATTTATTTAAGACTTCAGAAACCATTACTTATTTTATTCAGTGATGGCAGCATAAATCCTCAATATAAAAAAGCAATATTGATGCTGGTAAAAGAGAAACACTTGGATTCACTTACCCCTTGCTGGTTAAATCTGTAAGTATATTTTTATTTTTTAATATGTAAATCGCTATAATGATTACATTTCATTAGGAAATTAAACTCTTTATATCTTTGGAGTTAATATTATGGACCAGTGTATATGTTATCATGATGTTTTAGTAACTAAACTTTCTCATGTGATCTAAGATGATCTTATTTTTTAAAAAATATTTTATTTATTCATGAGAGAGAGAGAGAGAGAGAGGCAGAGACACAGGCAGAGAGAGAAGCAGGCTCCATGCAGGGAGCCTGATGTGGGACAGATGTGGGTGTGATCAACCGCTGAGCCACCCAGGTGTCCCAGATGACCTTGTTTTAGATTGAATTGCATACTACAATAATTTTTTTTATTTTACTCAATATATTTTTAGATGTATATAGGTATAATTGACAAAATTCTAAGATATTTATTTAAAGTATACATTGTAGTACCTGTATCCATTGTGGAAGGATTCCCCCATCTAATATATTTATTACCTCCTATTATAAAATACATGTATTTATACATATATGATTTGGGGGAGGGAGTAAGAACATTTAAGTTCTACTCTCTTAGCAAATTTCAATTTCATAGCATTCTCAACTATAGTCACCATGGTCACCATGTTATTCATTAGATCCTCAGACCTTATTTATTCACCTTATAGCTGAAAGTTTGTTTCCTTTTCCCAACCTCTTCCTACTTCCCCCAACCCTGAGTCCCTGGCAACCACTTTTCTATTATGTTTCTGTGAGTTTGACTTTTTTTTTTTTTAATCACATAAGTGATACCATGCAGTATTTGTCTTTCTCTGTCTGGGGGGCTTAATTCACTTGGCATAATTTGTGTCTTCAGAGTCCATCCTTGTTAGCAAGTGGCAGGATTTTCTTCATCTTATGGCTGAATAATGTTCTGTTGTTTATGTACCACATCTTCTTTATCCATTCATCTCTTGACAGATACTTAGGTTGTTTCCATATCTTGGCTGTTGCAAGTAATGCTACCACAAACATGGGAGTGCATCGATCCATTCAATGTCTTGTTTTCATCTCCTTTATGTATATACTCAGAAGTAGGATTGCTGAATCATATGGTAGTTTTAATTCAGTGTTTTGAGGAACCACCCTGCTGCTTTCCACAGTGGCTGCACCAATTTACATTCTCACGAACAGTGCACAAGGGTTCCCTTTTTTTTACATCCTTACCAGCACTTGTTATCTTTCGTCTTTTTGATACTAGCCATTTTAACAGGGTTGAGGTGGTATCTCACTGTGATTTTGTTTTGCATTACCTAGTTAGTGATGTTGAGCATTATTTCATGTACTTCTTGGCCACCTGTAGGTCTTCTTTGTAAAAATGTCTCTGCCCATTTTTTAATTGGATTGTTTGTGTTTGCTATTACGTGTGAATTCTTTGGTTATTTTGGATAACCTATCAGATATATGATTTGCAGATATCTTCTCTCATTCCAAAGGTTGCCTTTTCATTTAGTTGGTTTCCTTTGCTATGCAGAAGCTTTTTAATTTGATATAGTCCACTTGTTTAACTTATGTTGCCTTTCCTTTTGGTTGTCATACAAATAAGAAGTAGTAATTTTTCTGATTTTAAAAGTAATTGTTGTCCATTGAGGCAAATACATAAAAAATAAACATTGTGATATTTGGCATTTTTTCTTCAGCTCCATTTCCTCTACTTTTATATTTTTCAAATGCAGCCTTAAATGTTACAGATAGTTTCCAGTGCGTTCACCAACAATATTTTCTGTTATGCTTTCTATATTTATAGCTTGTGTTACATTTAATGTCTGTGAACACAGTTTACATAAACACACACTACCCATTGTTCAAATTCATCAGATGAAAGACATTTTTAATTCATTTGAAAAATTATAAGAATGAGGTGACATGCTTTTTTTTTTTTTTTCCTGTGAAGAGTTCACTACTACTGCTTAAAACAAAAATTTCCCAGGGTACTTATCTTTGTAGGTATCTCAGAGTAAAACAGTATTTTCCATAATGTGGAATGTGCTGTTTTAGGAAAGTTAAGTATCTTTTTTTTTTAAAGATTTTATTTATTTATTCATGGGAGAGACACACACAGAAAGAGAGAGAGCGAGCGAGAGAGAGGCAGAGACACAGAGAGAGGGAGAAGCAGGCTCCATGCAGGGAGCCTGACATGGGACTGAATCCCAGGTCCCCAGGATCACGCCCTGGGCTGAAGGCGGTGCTAACCCACTGAGCCACCTGGGCTGCCCTGGAAAGCTAAGTATCTTAAAAGTTATGGTTTCCATGTATGATATAACTTTTATTTTTTTAATTATTTTTGACTTTTTATTTGCATTTATTCTATGCGGAATTTACTCCCAGGCCGTAAGTTTTTGTTTCTTTAGTTTCTTCTGGGATATCTTTCTCTTCTGTGCAGCCTCCCCTTCTGGTTTCAGAACAATCTGCTCATTTTCAGTAAGGACCATCTTGATGTGACTGGGAGAACTCATATGTGGGTGGATCTGGCCATGAGCTCTGTAAGTTCTACACTGCATCTTGGGGGCTTTGTTCACTTGGATGTGCTCAATGGCCAGAGAATCTACATCTAAACCGTTAAGTTCAGCATTACTCTCTGCATTCTTAAACATGTGCAGTAAAAATTCAGCACTCTTCTTCAGCCACTGACCCTGTGTCCAGCCCCACTATTTGGCCTGGGCACACCTACCAACTCTACCACTGTAGTGATGGAATGGCACACACTGCTGCAAAGTGACATCTTTCATGTACTTGGTGGCTTTTCAAATATGCATACCCTTGATGGCCTGGGCAGTTTCACATGTGTTCTTAAAGTGAACATGAAGATTTGAACCTCTCGATTTGCATGATTTTTGTAGGGTTTTCTGGCTCGAACAAATAGCTAACCATTTTTAGAGGTCATCTCAGGCTGCTTAGGGGAAGAGGAAGAGTGGTGGCTCCTAGAAGGCTGACCATAACTTTTAAAAATGTTTTTATTTGAAAAAATAAAAAATAAATATATGTTTAAAAATTTTTAAAAATATTTTATTTATAAATTTTTTAATGTTTTATTCTTTTATCCTGAGGAAAAACTTTATTTGGAGAGGTACTTGTTATAAGTATCTTTTTATTTTATAGTTTGTATCCATTTAATTTTTGTTGACATGTGATCAGATACTTAGCTCAACTTTGGGAGGAATCTATTGATTATATCAAACCCAAATTGACAAACCTTTGAACTATGACTGGTTTTCATGAAAATAGTCACTGGCTACCTTTTTTTTTCCCCTAAGAGAAACACAGTGCCCATGTCAAACTCATTAAGAACTTCATTACTAATAACATAGTTCTAGACCTCCTGGTTTTTAGGATATCTTTTTATAAAATAATGGTATGATATTATAATTAAAGTTTAATGTTCTACGAATTGTTGTATTCATAATTTTGTTATAGAAAGAAATACTAATGCGTTCTGTTGTTCCCTTTTGCAGAAAGAATACTCCTGTGGGAAGAGGAATCTTGCAGTCATATTTTGATACTATGCCTCCCCTTCCTCTTCTTGTTGTGGTCAATCTACATTCAGGTGGCCAAGTATTTGCATTTCCTTCAGACCAGGCTATCACTGAACAAAACCTTTTATTGTGGCTTAAGAAACTAGAAGCAGGACTTGAGAATCATATCAGTAAGTTTTCTGTTTTAATATACCCAGTTATGTATTTTCATAGATTTTTAAACTTGAATTATAGCTAATATATGCTAGAATGAGTTGAATCATAATGTTTGTAAGTATCCTAAATATTAATATCTTATAGCATTGTCCATGGAACAATTTTCTTTGTGGTAAGTATTTATTACCCCAAGAAAATAAGTACCATTACATTACATTTTATTAAATTTAATGATAGTAATAACTAACATTTATTGAATGCTTGATAGGTGTCTAGCACAATGTTAAATGAGTTAATACATGTTAATCACTTAATTCTCCTAAAAGTCATAGGAAGTATTGTTACCTGTAGAAGAGTTAGGTAACTAGTTCAAAATCAAATGATTAACCAGTAAATGAGGAAGCTTTAATTCCAACCTGCATCTCTTTCACTCTATTATAAGAAAATAGATCTTGGTCAGTTTATGATGCTGGCTTATGATATGTCATAGTCTCTACTTTTCTAAAACATACGTGAATTTATATCTGTGGTACAAATGTATATGTTAATTCATTTACAATTATAATAAACCTGTTACTATAATTTAAATAAGTTAACATGTAATAACCTAGATTATTAGTATATGGAGAAAATAGTTTGAAATTTGATGTAATGAAAAAATCTGTTAAGATACTACCAAGGATTTTGTTATTGGATACCAGATGAACTATATTATATTTTGACATTGTTCCATGACAGTGTCTTGAAATACAGTGTGTGTGTGTGTGTGTGTGTGTGTGAGTACATAAATATGAGTGTATCTATATATACATACAGTACTTGTGTACAAATTCCAATTCATTATTATATTGTCTCAGCCAGCTTGCATATTGTGAATAAGTCATTATGTATATTTGTGTATATGTGATCAGGTACTTAATTTAAGTGTCAATCATTGCAGCACACCTGTTCTTCCCAGGTGTGGGAACTTCATTTCTGTTAAGTTAGGCAGTTTTAACTATGTTTATGTTTAACTTGCCTATGGATGATATTTTTTTTATGGATGATATTTTTATATTGAAATATAATTCACATACCATAAAATTCATCCTTTTAAAATGTATAATTCACTAGTTTTAGTATATTTACAAGATTGCATAACCATTGCCACTATTGAATTCCAGAACATTTTCATCACCTCAAAAAGAACCCCCCTTACCTATTAGCAGTCACTCCTTCTCCCTTCCCTCTTTCCCCAGACAATATATTTTATGTCTCTGTAGATTTGCCTATCCTGGACAATTTATATAAATGGAATCATATAATATGTGGCCTTTGGATCTGGCTTTTTCAATCAGTACAGGTTTTTAAGGATCATTGATGTTATAACATAAATCAATAGTTCATTCCTTTTTATGGATGAGTAATTTTTCATTGTTTGGATATACCACATTTGTTTTTCCATCAGTTGGACATTTAGGTTGTCTCCACTTTTTGGCTCTTATGAATAGTACTGCCATATACATGATCTGTTATATATAAACCTCATGATGACCACAAACCAAAAATCTAAAATAGATACTCAAAAAATGAAGAGAAAGGAATCCAAACAAAACACTAAAGAAAATTACCAAATCACAAGGGAAGAGGACAAGAGAAGGAACAGAGAACTACAAAAACAACCAGAAAACCATTAATAAGATGGCAAGAAGTACATACTTATCAATTATTATTTTTTTAAAGATTTTATTTTTAAGTAATTTCTACACCCAACACAGAGCTCGAACTCAGAGGCCCATGATCAAGAGTTGCATGCTCTACTGATTGAGCCAACCAGGCACCCCTCAATAATTACTTTAAATGTAAGTAGGCTAAATGCTCCAATCAAAAAACTTAGAGTGACTAAATAGATGAAAAAACAAGACCCATCTATTGGCTTCCTACAAGAGACTCACTTCAGACTTAAAGATACATACAGAAGGAAAGTGAAAGAATGAGAAAAGATATTTCATGCAAATGGAAACAAAAAGAAAGCTGGGTTAATAGTACTTATATCAGGCAATATAAACGTTAAAACAGAGTATAACAAAAGACAGTGATAAACATAAAGGGATCAATCCAACAAGATATAACAGTTGTAAATATCTAGGCACTCAATATAGGAGCACCTAATTATATAAGCAAATATTATCAGACATAAAGGGAGAAATTGACAGTAATACAATACTGTAGGGGATTTTAACACCCCAGTTACATCAATAGGTAGAGAACATCCAGACTGAAAATCAATACGTGACTTTAAATGACATATTAGATCAGATGGACTTAACAGATATATACAGAACATTTGTCCAAAAACCATCCTTGCATCCCTTCCCACAGAAGTACAAAGGATTGTAAGACTACCATGAAAAACTATGTGCTAAAAAATTGTACCACCCAGAAGAAAAGGATACATTCCTAGAAACTTAAAAACTTCAAGACTGAATCAGGAAAAACCAGAAAGTCTTTAAAATAAAACAATTACTCCTACCAAAATTGAGCCAGCAATCAAAAAATTTCCAAAAAAAACCCCAAAAGTCATAGACCATAAGGCCTCACAGGTGAATTCTACCAAACATTTAAAGAATAATACCTATGCTTTTCAAACTATTCCAAAAAGTACAAGAGAAAAGAATTCTTCCACATTTATTTTACAAGGCCAGCATTACCTGGATACCAAAACCAGACAAAGATACTACAAAAAAGAGAACATTACAGGTAAGTATCCCTGATGAACATAGATATAAAAATATTTTTAAATAACATTTATTTTTTTATTTAGAGAGAGTGAGACAGAGTGGGGTGGGAGGGTGGAGTCTTAAGCAGACTCTGGACTGAGCTTGGAGCCTGACATGGGGCTTGATGTCATGACCCTGAGATCACAACCTAAGCTGAAACCAAGATTTGAATGCTTAACCAACCGTGTCACCCAGGTGCCCCTAGAAGTAAAAATTCTTAACAAAGTATTAGCAAAATGAATTAAATGTATTGAAAGGATCATGGAGGTTCCTTAAGAAATTAGAAATACCATGTAACTTAATAATCCCACTTCTGAGTATTTACACAAAGAAATTTAAAACACTAATTTGAAAAGATATATGCACCCCTATATTTACTGCAGCGTCATCTACAAGAGCAAAGATATGGACACAACAGAAGTGTCTTTTGATAGATGAATGGGAAAGAAGATAGGATAATTATACTAAACAATGGGATATTGCTCAGCCATAAAAAAGAATAAAATCTTGCCATTCATGACAACATAGATGGATGGAGAGAGTATTATGCTAAGTGAAATAAGACAGAGGAGCACAAATACTCTGTGATACAAGTTATACATGGAATCTAAAAAAAAACAAAACAAATGAACAAAACAGAAACAGACATGGAAAGAACTAGTGGTTTTCAGAGGGGAGGGATGGACAAACTACGTGAAGGGGATTAAGAGGTACAAACTAAAGTTATAAGTCATGGGGATGAAAAGTACATCTTAGGGAATATAGTTAATATTCCATTTTTGTATGGTGACAGTAACTAGACATACAGTGATCATTTCATAATGCCAATCATTATGTTGTATACCTGAAGCTAATATTGTGTGTCAACAGTACTTCAATTAAAAAAATAAAATTAAAAGGTGGTAATGTTCAAAGGTACAGAAACCTGAGCTCCTGATCCTATCCCCTGGATTATTAATGGTGTGGCTCTAGGCAAGTCTTTGTTTATTTCTTCCTCTGCAACTGTAAAGTGAGATTAATAGTTCTTATTCTATGTCACATACTTATTTTAAAAATCAAGTATAAATTATATATGTATAGGCACTTTGTAAGGTATGAAGTCCTAAGTATTTTCATTAGTCATATAGAGATCTTCCTATAAGGAACATCTGTTGGGCTTTGATTCCTCAACTCAAATCATTACCAAGAAGAAAGAACCAGAATTTTTTTTTTTTTTAGTTTCCCGAGACTGGTGTATCTTCCATTGTAATTCTGTTTATGCCTTTGCCAACTCAATCTTTGAGGGTTTTCCATTAATTTATCTGTATCAGTGTTCCTATTCTTAAATTAGTCCTGCAGCCTCTGCAGCAGGAAAGAAGCAAACTGAACAGTACTTCTTTCTATTGAGTCCTGTCTTCTGTGCCAGCAGGACCTGTTCTCACCTCTTTAAGAGATAGATTGGAGACTGAGATGCTGTAGCTACTCCCAGAAAAGTCTGAATCTGTGGTGCCTTGTGTGTCTGCCTTGTCATGCTTGCTGCATATATTAATTTACGTGAAATTGTGACCACTGGCTATTCTTACTCAAGATTTTCATTTAGCCTTCAACTTTTCTATCATAGATCTTGATTTTCATTTATAAAATTGGAATAAAAATTATACTTACTGCATGGGATTATAAAGATTAAAAGAATAATGCCTGGTACAAAGTAAAGGTTCAAAAAATATTAGCTATTATTATCAGTACTAATTTGATAATAAAGCATTTATTATTTATACATGATGAGAGTCCAGTTTAATTTGCAATTGAAAACATCTAGGACCTTTGTATAATTTTCTTAACAAATAATTAGCAGAATTGAGATGCCTACTTCTGGGCATTTTGCCATCATGTCAGACCACTGGATGCAGTGTTTACCTTAAAAAATAAATATGCTAAATATTCATTATGCTTTAAGTTGGACTTTCCTTGAAGACACTTTAATGTATCCTTTAATTTATTTTTAATTTATTTATTCATGAGAGACACAGAAAGGCAGAGACATAGGCAGAGGGAGAGCAGACTCCCCATGGGGAGCCTGATGCAGGACTCAATCCTGGGACCACTGGGACCTACGCCAAAGGCAGACACTCAACTATAGTTGTAGCCTAAATGTAATACCCTTCTGATGTACCATGTACTAGGATTTCATATAATTGAGTGTACATGAGGAAATTATCAAGTATAGATAAACTGCATATGTATTTATGTAGATTTTTGGCGCTTTTAACCTGCCTCTGGAAATGAGAATTTATATGAGTTTCCTAAGCTTTTAAAGGTATGTATTTGACTTATGAGAGATGCTCAAGTTTGTATTTTATCAACATTTATTATTATTTCTTTCATGTAATAGTGTAGAGATTCTTTCACTGGAATTTATTTTTTAAAGGTTACTTTGCATATTTCCCTTAATTTATTTCTCAAAATAGCATTTTAAATGGATACCTAAATTCTAAAATGTTTTTGTAAAGTCTTTCTACTCAATAGAGAAGAGTTGGCTAATTTACTTATATAATGTTATCAGATTAAACCAGTTTTCCTCTTCTAATAACTAGTATTTTAAAATAATGTTCAGATTCACTACTATGAAGCCCATCTAAGACACTATATAATCACTGTCTTTTTGTAGTACAGTTGACTCTGTAGCAATTTTTAATTATTCTTCATTTTATAAAAATAATCCCAGATCTTGTTTTCATAAAGTATATGCAAAGTATAACCAAAAACTTCAAAAACATCTATGAGTGAACATTTGGTTGCATCCATTTCTTCACTGTTGTAAATAATAATGCAGTAAACACAGGGGTGCATATATCTTTTCAAATTAGTGTTTTTGTTTTCTTTTGTTAAATGCTAGAAGCAGAATTATTGGATCATATAGTATTTTTATTTTTAGTTTTTTGAGGAACCTCCATACTGTCTTCCACATTGGCTATACCGGTTTACATTCCCACCAATGGTACACAAGTGTTCTTTTTCTCCACATCCTTACCAACATGGATGGACCACTTATGCTAAGTGAAATAAGACAGACTGAGAAAGACAAATACCATGTAATTCACCTAAATGTAGAATCTAAAAAAAAAACAACCAAATAAAAAGCAGAATCAGACCTATAACTACAGAGAACAAACTGAAGGTTGCTGGAGAGTAGGGGATGGGTGGGGATGGGCAAAACAGGCGAAGGGGAGTGAGAGATATAGGCTTCCAATTATGGAATGAATAAATCCTAGGGATGAAAGGTACAGCACAGGGAATATAGTCAGTGATATAGTAATAGAATTGTATGGTGACAGATGGTAACTACACTTGTGGTGAGCATAGCATAACATATAAGCTTAGTGAGTCATTATGTTTGTTATACACCTGTAAGTAGTAGTATAGTTGTATGTCAACTATACTCAAATTTAAGAAGAAAGTTTCAAAAACAAAATGCTTTAAAATGTAAAGAAATAGTTGTCTAAATAAATAAATAAATGTGTTTGTCCCAAAAACTTTTTTTTTTTTTGTAATGATTCATAAGAAATAGTTCCAGGGAAGCTTCTGGGGAAGACGACAAAGTAAGAAGATCCAAAGCTCACCTCATCCCACAGATACAACCAAATAACCCCCACATCAGTGTAAAAACCAGAAAGCAACCTGAAGACTGGCAGAAGAGACTCTCCACAGCTAAATGTAAAGAAGGGGCTGCATTGAAGAAGATACGAAGGACAGAGTAGTTGGGAGATAAACAACTTTTGGGACTGTCCTCAGAAGGGAGGGACCCGCCTGTCCCGGGATGTCGGAAGAAACCCGACAGAACAAATTGGCTGCGGCCAAGAAAAAGTTGAGGGAGTATCCGCAGAAGAACAGCCCTGGTGTAGGAGCAAAGAAGAAAAGGAAGATTAAAAATGGCAGTAGCCCTGAAACTACCACTTCCAATGATTGTCACTCTCCTGAGGATGCGCCCAAAGACCGCGCCGCTCCTGCTGCACCAACTGTTGATGACACCGTGTCACCTGGCGGTGTCCCTTCCCCCTGTGCTAGTCTCCCTCGTGTCACCAGCATGACATCAAATCAGAACCATGATGCAGAAAATGGTCCTATCCTCATAGATGAAAGCAAATGTCTGTCCTCTACCGAGAGCCTGCGACAGCTTTCTCAGCAGCTCAATGGTCTTGTGTCCGAGTCTTCATCCTACATCAATGGGGAGGGCCTGGCATCTTCTGCTAACATAAAGGATCTAGAGAGCCGGTACCAAGAGCTATCACTAGCCCTGGACTCCAGCAATCTAACAAACAACTCAGTAGCAAGATAGAGGAATTGAAACAACAGAACCAGGAAACTCTGGATCAACTGGAAAAAGAGAAGAAGGAGTTTGAACAGAAGCTTGCGAAGGAGCAGGGGTCTCTAAGGGAGCAGCTGCAGGTTCACATTCAGACCATAGGGATTCTGGTGTCTGAGAAGACCGAATTACAGATAGCCCTGGTCCACACACAGCAGGCAGCCAGGCAGAAAGCAGGAGAGTCTGAAGATCTTGCTAGTCGCCTGCAGTCTTCCTACCAGCGTGTCAGTGAGCTGGAGCGCACATTGTCTGCTGTCTCCACACAGCAGAAGCAGGTGGACAGGCACAACAAGGACTTAACCAAAGAGCGAGACACCCTCAAGCTGGAGTTATATAAAAACAACAAAAACAATGAGGACCTGAAGCAGCAGAACTCAGAACTGGAGAAGCTTTAGGTGATGGTGAGAGAGAAGGCAGCCATGCAGCTCGGGATGGAGGAGCTGCAAAAGAAGCTGGAGATGTCGGAGCTCCTGCTGCAGCAATTTTCTAGTCAATCCAAAAGCCCTGACAGCAGCCAGGAGTTACACCAGGCCCTGGAAGAGCGGATACAGCTGGAGGCCCACGTCGGGGAGCTGAGAGATTTACTAAAACAACTGCAGCTGGAGAGAGAACAGTATGCAGAGACTCTGAAGGAGGAG